CCCCAAAACCCCAAAACCCCAAAACCCCAAAACCCCAGAAATATTAAATAAAATTGAAAATGAAATACTCTTTTTCAATTCCTCAACGGAAATATTTAGTCAATAAGGAAATAAAATATCCTGTGGAGAGGTTTCATAAAGCATGCAGAAATGGAGAGATAGATCTTGTCAAAGAGATTTGTACGAGTGACAGAAAAGATGAATACATTGATTCTGTTGATAATCATGTAATAATCACTCTTTAATTTTTAGCTCAAGTGGACACCTTTGGTACGCAGTATTCTTGCAAGACAAATTACTGTGGTAAAAATGCTTCTGACGGCTGGAGCGAATCCTGAAATTATAAGCTCTGTAAATATTTTGTTAATCTTTGATAGGATGGAGAAACTGCAATTTTTTAATGCATGCAAAATTCAGAGTTCTACGATTTTAGAGCTATTAATTAGATATAAGGTGGATCTAAATGTTGTGAATAACAAAGGAGACTATCCACTGCATATAACCTGTATTCAAGGGAATAGGATGATGTGCCAATATTTATTAGCTAAAGGAAAAGCAAACCCAAATGTCCAAAATAAAATTTCAAATAATACTCCTCTCCATATTGCAATTGAGAGAGGACATATTGATTGAGCAGTATTGTTGCTGAAATTTGGAGCAACTAACACTGTTCTCAACATTAATGGTCAAAAGCCATTTGATTTAGGAAACAAATTGGACAAAATAAAGCTTGAGAACTTTCTCTCTTACAATAGAAGAAGTAAATCTTGAATAAGGAGAGATAGAAGCAGATCCAAACCAAGTTTCATAGACTGTGACCTTTCTTGAATATCAACTTATAAAGCATCTCAGTGCGAATCAGGTTTAAATTCTCCTTCGTTCTCAAATGGAATATCTAAATTCCTTTACTCAACTATTCAAAGCAATAACCAAAATGAAAATTTAAGCCACAAAGAGGGGATTAACAAAAGCAATTGTCGAACAGATCAATGCTTGCATCTTCAGGAGCATCAGAAAAATGCATGAACTACTCAAAACAAGAATAAAGGTAAAGAAATAACTAACCTTCAGCCAATTTTCCCTGAAAAGACAAGCAAATTCAAAATGCCTATTCTGAATTCTACAAACAAGCGACTCACCAAGAAAACAGTTCATATATAAAAATAAACGAAAATAATACTCCAGCTGGTGAAGGGATCATACAAAGCGACTCTGGCTTCACTCATGAACGAGTAGTAGAAACTGAAGAGAAGATGTTGAGCTTTGACCTAAACACATCTTTGGAAAGACTTAATGAAAAGTTGAAATAAAGTATAAACTATCCGTTAAAATTTAGGCTTTAGAAGAAGAGATTGATCAGGAAAATAACATGAATGATAGTAACCTAAATGCAGATTTAGCAACCATTGATTATATCATTGAAAACGGAAAATCAACCAAATTAATACAATCACTTGGAGAACAGAGGAGAGAGAGTAAGGGAAATACCTTTGAGTTTACTAAAACTCATGCTACTGGAAGTTTTGATGATAGTTCTCAGAAGAACTTTCTGAAGCAAAATATTAAAGATATCTCTGGAGTCTCTTTAATAGAAGCAGGCTCTGATTTACAATCTGATAGTGAAGACAACTCTGAATTTGAAGAATCTGGAAGCATAGATGAAAGAGTTCCCTCTAAAACCTTAGCCCAGAACCTAATGTGCTCGTTTGGTAATGAATTACCCCAAAACTATGAAAAAGACCCTGTATGAAGAAAAATTTTAATTTCTTCCAGAAAATATAGTAACGAAATGTGTTCAATTGATAAACTACATACTGATGAACATTTCATTGAAGAGACCAAAAATCTTTTTATTGAAGAACCAGAAATTTTACATGAAGAAATAATCAGACATGAAGTTCCTGATTCACAACTTTGAAAGATAAACTTGCTTGAAAAATCAAGAAATGCAGAATTTTCTCAGAGATTTTATTCAACTGGATCCTGTAGAGGGCTACAAAAATCAAATTTTGGCTGTAAGATATTTAATTTATATTCAGGAGATAAAACCTCAGCTAATAAATTAAAGAATAGAAACAAAGTAAGTGAAATAATTTAAATATATAGTTGAAAAATTCAAAGATAGCGAATCATTTCAATACCACTCTCAAAGATCTGTCCAATTTTATAGTAGAGAAGGCTTGCTCAAAGTTAAGTTGCTATTCTCCTGCCTCAAAAGAATATGAGATTGACATGACAAGAGATAGACGCTCTAAATATCTTAGATAGAGTGAAGAGATATAATTAATTTGTGAATAAGTTTCTAAAAACCAAGATTAAACAAGGGTTAACTATTTATTCCTTGATTTAGCTTTGTATTATAGTTTGGTACTCAGATCTTCAAAGATTGTAATTTTGTAAAACTGGGTTTTCAAACTCTATTTTCTTCAATGGATTAGAATAGATACAAGAATTTATTGAAGCAAATTTTTTAAGTATACCAATTGTTTAAACTCAGGAAATTGAAATTTAGAGCTTTTATAGATTGTTCTTCAATGTGTTAACATTTTAAAGGAGTTGAAGTATTGTCAAAGTTACCAAAAACTCCTAGATCAACACTCATAACTAAAAAGGTATATTTTAAGTTTTAAGTTTCAATCTTGCTAACCTCATCAGGGGTTTTGGGGTTTTGGGGTTTTGGGGTTTTGGGG